CCTAATCGTTGTCCCTAATCGTAATGTCAATTCAAATTTCCTATGAGTGTCAAGCATATTCACACATGCTTTAACGTAGGCGCACTTCGAACGCCGCCTACAGAACACATATGAGCAAGATTCACATTTAGCTTGTGATGTTTCTTCCCAATGCTGGCGTCCACAAAAAATCTCTCAACTTTAGAGGGAATATGACCTTCCAGTTTAAATTTGCTAAAAGAAATGTTGTAATAATGTTGTAATAATGTCAACAAAAAATCTCTCAACTCTGAAGAATTTTTTAAATATAACCTAGTACCTGTAGACACCTAATTGTGTCTCCCCTAAAACCAAACCCAGTGATGAATATATTTCAGGTTATTTAATTATTGAACAAGGTGAAATGTGAAAAGTCTTGTGATGTGGTCGTTTTAATAAAAATACTTTTTTCTATTTTCAAAAATCATTAATTTCGTACCCTATTTAGTTTAGTTTGTTGCATGATAAGGGTCCAATAATGGTGTAGTTGAATGGGGCTTGAAAAGACCTTTCCAACAATATATTATAAGCCCAATTCTGATGAATAATGAGGATGTTATGACCAAAATACTAAACTTGGCTCAAACCGGATTTTACCTACGGCCAGATGATCATGTGAAGGGTCCAAGGTTTAATCCCATTTGTAAACTAATTATGATTTATTAGAAGCTTCTATAATTTTATAAAAGATCATAATTATCCTTTTTTATAAAAAAAATAAGATTAAAGAGTTTGAAATTGGATAAAACTATCCTTTTTTTAAAGTCCTAATTCTATTCGAAATGAATGTCGTTCAAAGAAAGGAAGATATTATTTTTGGGCCTCTTAATATTTATCCAAATCTTATATGGTTGGATAGATTTTGAAATTATCTTCCCAATTAAATATTATAATATTAATTCCAAGCTATGACGAAAAAGATATGAAAGAAATACAAAACTATATCCAAAACTGACACCCTTCCACTATTTCGACCATATCTTTTGTAATACAAAAGATTTTAATCTGATTCTAATTGGGTTTGAAAGTGGACTTCAAGAACTTTCCAACAAAATATAATATGCTTTATTTTGACTTAAATATCAAAAGATATGATAAAAAAAATTCCGCAAAAAACTGTCACAACGCAAAACGACAGCTTTGTCTCATGACGACAGACTTTGTCGCCATGTGTGATTCCTGCTGTTTCGCGCTAGGTCCTATCATTCCGGACATGAGCCAATTCTATTCTGATTTGAATTCTAACTGTTTTTATCGTTTTTGGACGATTTTCTCTATAAATAGAGTCTTATTTCCCCGATTAACATTCACCAACAATTCACAATCATCGATACTCATCCTTAATTCTCAAAGAGCAATAGCTTATTCTTCTCCCTATTTCTAAACCTTCCCCTTTTACAAAATACCGCATTCACAAGTTCTAGACACACCTAGCCAAGCTCGAAGTTGTCTCAGCCCTAGACGTGAAAGGTTGATAATTTTGAGGGTCTGGTCCCAAATCCCTATTTAAATTAATTGTTTGATTTAATATTTTCATTGAAGTTACTAACTCGTGTATTTTGTTATTAGAAAGATATACAAGGCATCAAAATAATTCATTACTTTAATTATTCTTTTGATGTAGAAATCATGCTTAGATTATATTAATTCCTAGTATCATGTTTGGATGTTGTTTATTGCTTTCTAGTATCATGCATAGGTTGCTTCCTATTATTTCTATTTCTTCTATCATGTTGGTATCATGTTAGGGATAAATCTTTTATCTTTAATGTTTAGTGACATGCTAGGATTTATTATTAATCTTGTTAGTATTATGCCAAGGATCTTGCTAATGTTATGCTTTATTGAGATTGAGAATATTATTATTTTGATGATAATTGCTATTATGTTGCTTGATTATTATTTTTATTGTTTGATCAAGTCCTCTTTTGCATGATTAAAGGGAATTTTTACTTGTAATCACGCTTTATAAGATAATTAATAATCTTGTTTAGGCTAATATGATTATAATTCAAGTGATCGTCAATAATAGTTTTGTTTGTGCATTAATATTCAACCAACATAGATTAAACAGGTTTAGGGTTAATATAATGATTGTATGTTAGTCCGAAATCGCACATGAATATGAGAAGAATAAAGTATAGGTCTATTTTTAGGGTAGGTTCAATCTCTTTTAGGTTGGATTTGTACTTTCATCCCCGAATATCTAGTCATGATTCCAAACCACTATGGAGTTAGCGATCTCATGGATGGTCAAGGGGTGTAACCTTCACCCTGTGAACGGTTTACAATTTTCTAAAACTTGTTGGAGACTCTTTTGGACGCCACCATGCTTAAGTGTATGGTCATAGTGGGGCTCAAATGTGGGATGCTTGAAATATTCCCTACTGTTTTTTGGCAACTCCACTGAAGAGGATTTCTATTTTAATTTCTAAAATTTATTTTGGCAATAATTTAGAATGAGTGGATGAGACTCGAAACGTTCTAAGTATTCATGTACGTAGTTTTGATTGACATTATTGACATATACATAAAAAGGTCCACATTAGAAAGACCATCCGTAATGCGTAAAAAATATAGGATTTTTCACCCGTAGGAAATATGGAAATTATCTTTCACAACTAGGATAAAAAAAAATCTATGAAAAATAAGAAAATTCAAAGAACAGAACGCTGCTGAGGCATGTAGGAACCGGCGCCAGGATAATAGTGCCAGTGCCATGCAATGTCTTTGTCGCCATGCGACAGCAATGTCGTTTGCCGACAGGCTCTGTTGTCTCACGCCAAGTTCTTCCAATGCCGAGCCAGAAATCTACCTTCTTTGTTTCGATCGATTCTAGTACTGTTCGCTCGATTCTACTTCGTGATTGAGTTTTTCTCACTTTTCTGAACCCATATGTGTTCTACATATGGTCATTATCCTCTGGATATTCAAGCTCCATCTACCCAATCGAACGCTAATGGCAACGAAGGGTACATCCGAGTTTGTTGAATTCACCAAACCGTGGAAGCGAGTTTAACTCGCAAGGTCTCATCCACACGCGCCAACTGTTCCAAAGGTAAGGCTTTCGTGGGGTTAATCCGGACTCATAACCATGGAACCTCTTTAACTAACCCTTATCCTTGAACTTTAGAGAACTAGAGCCGTGTTTAGGTTGCAAACTCATTGCATTATATTGTGACTATTAGACTACTTGTGCATTATTTGCTTGTGCATATTTACATGTGATTAAACTAACCGTTTGTTTTGACTTGTGTTTGTAAAGTATTTTTAATAAACTAAACAATGACTAAAGGACTTTGCTTAATTAATTGATTAATTAATTTGAGCTAATAAATATGTCTAAAACCGAGACATTGTCTTTTTGAGTCAACCTGTATTTTTATTCCCGTATATTGCACAAATGTCAACTTGTTTTAGTCATATCCGGAGTTCTACAAAGAATTACAAGTTTTACAACTCCTGGATCTGTAGCCCTGAGTTTTATCTTTCATTTGGCTTGGTTTCGTCCAATTCAAAGACACAGATCAAAAGTTATGACTAAAATACTAAAACTTGTCCAGTTTAGTGCACATATGTGAAGTCTTAACTTAGTCTTTGTTTGAGTCTAGTCACATGGTCATAACACGAGTCCTTAACATATCACTTACACTCAAAAGTATTCACACACTTTGTACACCATTACCATGTCTTAGGTTCGTGCATGAGTCGTTCTTTCTGTCATTTGAATTGGGGGTCCACTCTATTCCTAATTTTTCCATATCTCTCCATCTACTTAACCTTTTCATACATATCTCACACTTTACTTTTTAAACACTTTCTACATTCACATTCCTTCATCTTACATGCTTCCTTCATACATCATTCACCTCACTACACTCATTTCCCATCCATGCATGTTAAATTTCCCATCCATGCATGATGAAACAAATGCACAAGGCAAGCTTTTTTACCAAAATTTCGTGTTTTCTTCTTCTTTTTTTCAAACCCTTCCCCAATAAGTTTAGCATAGACACCTTTAATTTTCTTTAGATTTATTTTGTAGGATTTTTCTTTTTTCCTTTTAATAAATGAGCATTTCTTTCTTGTATATGATCATCCCATTACATTGCATTTAAAAAAATAATATCCATACCGAACTAAGCACAAGTATACCAATGATTTGAGGCACCCCTTGTAGCCATATCATATCACCTTTCACCCTTAAAATATATAATCATTTCTTGACAAACCACTTTGAGCCTCGTCTAACGATAGACCTTTAGTTTTTCAACCCACATCTACCTAACCTTGGGAAGGGATGGCGTGAAACTTATAGAAATACAAAAGCTTGATTAATATTACCTAGATGTCAAAAATTCAAAAAAGCAAAAAAATAGCAATAAAAGTGTGCAAAAGGGCAAGCGTTCCAATGTCTTTGATATAAACATATTTTAGATATGAACACGTCTCAGATTGCTTCTTTTATCGAGTGCTCGGTTTCATGCCTGAGAAACATGAATGCCAAGTGAGTGATAGATTGCATGATCAGGATTGCCACACTTATAAAAAAGAATCAAATACAAAAATGATGAAGCTATAAAAGAGGAAAAAAATATAAACAAAAGAGAAGTGAGAAATCTTAAGCATACGAATACAAAAATTCAAAATCAAAGGTTGCACCCCTTAAGGGCTTATCTAGGGTCTTGAGCCTTTATCCCCTTTCTTCTTTAACCTTTAGCCTTACCGTCACTAGTAGAAAACCGTACATTTGCGTCGCCTTATTTGCGTCACTCATACAAAAGAACGAAGCAATTGTTTTTTTTAAGCATCCTTAAAATTTATTTGCGTCGCACATTAACCATGAAGCGATGCAAAAGTCAGATACATTTTAGCTTTTTGTTATTTGCGTCGCTCTTAATTAGTGAAACGACGCATATAATTATGTTATTTGCGTCGCTCATTTAAGTGACAAGTGACGCAAATGAGTGATAGAAGTCAAATGTGTCACTCCTTTAATTAATAAGCGACGCAAATAAGTAATGTGCAGCATTACACTTTGAGTTATTTGCGTCCCATTTTATTAGTTGAGTGACGCAAATCACTCTTTTGCATTTAGGTTTTTTTCGGATTCCACTTGCTAGCTGCCTCCCTTTTACTAAAACAAAAAAACAGCACTACTCCTATCTTCCAAGAACAGCGATTTCCTACAGCTAAACACCCAGAATTTCGAGCAAAAAAACCTCAGAAATTCGAGCAAAAAAAACCCCAGAAATTCGACCCATACACCCCAAGAAATTCGAGCAAAATCAACCTGAAATTCAAGGAATTTCGACCCAAAAACCCCCAGAAAATTGACCCAAAAACCCCATGAAATCGACCCAAAAACCCTAGAAATTGAACCCAAAAACCCCCATAAATTCAACCCAAAAAACCCCCACAAATTCAACAATCAAACCGCAATGTTGACAACAGCCATAATCGGAAAAAATTCAGGTTTACAAACCCCCATTTTCGAGCAAAACAACAAAAAAAAAAACCCTAAGAAACCCCAAGAATTCGAGCAAATTTGATTATGGGCAAATACGAGCAAATTCGAGCAAAAAAAGTGAGCAAATTCGAGCATTAATTCGAGCAATTTCGAGCAAAAATAATCGAATTAAAACACCAGGAATTCGGTGAGTGAATTACTGCCTTTATAATTAATTCGGTGAGTTAATTATCAGCTCTCAAATACTGATATAGCTCACTATCAGAAGGCTGGTTACTGCTATTTTGGTCATAAGTTATGCTATTGTTTTTGTTGATTTATTATCCTAGTGTTTATGCAAATGTACATATTGCTGAAAGAATTTGGCTTCATGTATATATGGATGCCTTTTATGCTGTAGTTGAGACATTGAGCAATCCTTCGCTAAAGGGCAAGGCAATGGCGGTTGGCGGCATGTCTATGATATCTACTGCTAATTATGAGGTATGAAAATGTAATAAATTTTCATAAATTTGCCCAAACTATGCACCTGTCAATTAAATAAAAAAAAAACCATGGAACACTTGTACAAATAAAATTAAGACCTTTTTGTTCTTTCCTTTTCACCTTTTTCACAATCTAATTGCTTGTTTGATTCACTTGTCCCTTGATAAGTTTATGTATTAAACTATTCCCATATTTTTTATTTTATTTTTTTTTTGTATTTGGTAGGGTACGCATGTACATTTTACTCCTACAAAATTTTTCGAACGAAATTCAATCTTATTTTGTATTAGGCCTCTTAATTACACCTGTAAGTTTATTTCGTTGGTTAGGAAGGTTTACTTGTATCACGTTAATTAAAAGCTGTAAATGATTTATGGCGATAGCTTAGAATAATTATAAGGTAATGCTATATGCAACTCTCAAGGCTAAGAATGGATAATCATTTACTCCCCCGTTCCTGAATAATTTACACAATCGAACTTGACTCACATGCCAATTGTGGTGCGATATTTAGCAGCCAACTCTTCTGTTTTGACAATATCCTCAGCACGTTTGGCTTCAATTGTCGCCTTCTTTTCCTCTGCTTCCTTGTGAATCATTGCCACTTTGTTCTTCATTTTTTTCGCGTATTTTGCCTTCTTCTTTTCCAAATTTTCCTGCACTCATGAATCCTCAACAGCTAAAGAGCCTTCTGTCACGCAACACAATATACTCAAAGAGACAAAAACATTGGCAATACTATATCTCCATCTTTTTTAACTCAGCCTCAGCAGTTGCTTTCCTGCTGTTCTCCCATGCCTCTACATCAACAATTTTCTTTTGTGCCCTGCTCAATTCAATTAGTATATAAATGAGTCCCATGTTTTCCATCAAAGAGTATCGTTTATATTTATATGCATCGGTCAGACGACAAACGCTTAAAACTAGAATATGGTTCAAACTATACTAGATATGTCACATGTAAAATCTATCCAAGAACAACTTTAGAGAACATTCCTAGGACTGGTTCACTCAAATCTTTATTTAAAACATTGTGTTTCAGTAATTCAGCCTGTCCCTCAGCAACTTAAAGACAAAACAATGGAATGATGACATGACTGAAAGTAATCTTACTTATTTTCGACTTTGCACTTCTCACTTTCTTCCCATGCTTTGATCAGTGAGTTCCTCTTCTCGGTTTGAACTCTTGAAAGTTGAGCATCTGAACAAATCCTTAACTTTTTCTTAATGATTTAGTTGCATTCTAGCCTAGTAGCTTGTGTCCTTTTATGGATTTTTTCTCTTCTGTGTTTTTCTTTTTTTTCCCTGGTACATGGAGGCATTTCAACTTGCATTTCAGCTATGTAGTAGAATTTGAGTAGGGCATCATCAGTTTTTAAACAAAAGTGTCTTCTTAAACAAAAGTGTCACTAGTTGTCATTAAACCTATAGTGGTTAGTTATTCAGAGTCTTGGCCACTTACATTTTCTCCAAGAGTCCAGGTACATCACAAAGTAATTTAACAATTGGGTGGACGTGAGTGTGGCTACTACGTCATGTGTTATATGTACGAAATACTTGAACATCATCATAGCAGTGAGGATCTTATTAAGGTATGAGTTGTCAAATATTTCATTTTTGTTTGATAAATACAATTTGATATGATGTTAGCTACAATCTTGAATTAAAACTTTCCTCTTGTATATTTGTTGTGTTGATAGGATTTTTCAAGAACTACACCATATACCGAGGAGGAGATAAATGAGATTCGAGATATTTGGGCAGAGTATTTTATATGTAATGTTGAACTTTAGATTTATACTTAGCGCATTTTGGACTCTTGTTTTGGATTATAGGCTTGACATAAATGATTTTGGTTAATTGGTGTTGGGATGATGAGTAAAATGTATATGATATTGAGATGTATATTTTATTGGACAGGTTGTTAATATAATGCCGTCATTCCCAATTTTATGGGTAGGCCAAAATACAAAGCCGAAATTTACATTTACATTCATTAATATTGTATTTTAATTTCAATTATTGGCGTTAACATATTACTTTATACCACTAGCGAGGAAAATAGGTACTACAAACATATACAAGCAATTATTAAAATTTAAAAAAAAATTCACATCATTTGCGTCACTCATTAAACAAACAAGTGACGCAAATAAAGCAATTTTGTATTGTCTAGACAGTCATTTGCGTCACTCCTATATAAATAAGTGACACAAATAACAAACAAGAAGTTTCTCAGAACAGCTATTTGCGTCACTCCTTTATAAAGGAGCGACGCAAATAACTCTTATTTGTGTCACTTGTTTATAAAGGAGTGACGCAAATGACTCTTATTTGCGTCGCGCCTAGGAGCGACGCAAATGATTTAAAAGTCATTTCCGTCGCGAGCAGTTGCGTCGCTCATAGAAGCGACGCAAATACACTATAAATGAGCGACGTAAATGAGCCTTTTTCTACTAGTGCGTGTTACAACCCTTTAAAGACCTCCTTGAGGTATATACACACACTTGTGCGAGGTTCGTCTAGAGCTATGTTCGGCCTGATTCCTAACAGATATGTAGGCAACCTCGTATTGAGGTGCGGCCATAATAAAATGCATTCATTCATATACACATTCATGCATGATCATATCAAAGGATCGATCTCTTATGATCATCATATCCATTTAGAGCTAGACTTGGGGGCTTGATCCCTACATCATTAGCTTACCTAGCCTAAGAGTCACCACTATTTGACTCTTTTCAAAATATTTTTCCATACACTTAGCCTTTGCAGCTTAGACTTAGTGTCACTTTCATACACATAACAGATACATAGATAAATAATCCTTCCCATAGGAACCTTTTGTCATGAAATTTTAACATAACTTTGAAGCATGCTTTGTCATATCAAAATCATTCATCACTATAAACATCATTGCATCACAAAGTATGAAGTGCTTAGCCTCCGTGCCTAAGTTACCCAAAATACTTTCATCATCAAGTCAACAATTAAGATAGCCTAGGATGAACTAATCCTTTTCACTATGAGATACAACATCAATGCATACATTCAAGTAAGCTCATTCAACATGCACTGCAAACACTGAAACACTTTCTTCGATTCTTTTTCGCGTCTTTCTTTTTCGGGAGAAAGTCGGTACCCTCCACAAAAATGACAGAAAATTTTTACTTATCTGCATTTTGAGTCAAGCACATCACAATACAATGCACACACGAGTCATGTCGTGTCAAGTCAGTCAAAGCACCTTGAGTCAACCTCAAGTCAGAGCAATTAGTCAAACCTTAGTTTAACCCTAAGAAAAACACCAGCAAAGTCTTTTAGCAATCTTTTGATTTTACAGGATACAACCATTCAGCAAAGCTCCTGTTTGCATCCAATTGAACAATCACAAAAAACATTCAGGCATTCAAAGCTCTTTTGTTTAGAGACACGTAGACATTCCTTTCAAGCTCTTTTGCTCAAAGACGTGTGGGCATCCTACCAAAGCTCTTTTGTTCAGAGACGTGGACATTCCTTTCAAAATCTTTTGCTTAGAGACACGTCGTGGGCATCCTATCAAAGCTCTTTTGTTCAGAGATGCATGGACATTCCTTTCAAGCTCTTTTGCTCAGAGACACGTGGGCATATCATTCATATCTCTTTTATTCAAAGAGGCGTGGACATCTCCTTTAATCTCCTTTGTTCAAAGAAGAGTGAACATCTCTCATCAAGCTCTTTTATTTAGAGACGCGTGGACATATCATTCGACGCTCCATTGTTCAGTGACGAGTGAACATCAATAGCAAACGCACAACAAAATTACAAGCAACGACACAACACGTACAACACCGGCAAACTGAAGACAACTACAAGCAGTGGTCTTCGACGATTTCTATAGGATGAGAAAATTGTCATAACAAAGTTGAAGATGACTACAAGAAGTCACCTTTGACGACGATCCCTAGGATGTGGAGAGTTGTCACAAACAATCGAGGATAGCTACAAGAAGCGGTCTTCAACGATGGCGTTCACGAGGCATTGTGGAGGTTGTCACAACAAAAACAACAACAAAATTGGTTACTCTAGAGACGTGTGCTCGACATTGCAAGATACACGTTTCATAACTCTCTTATCTGTTTAAATAACGCTAGTTTACAGGTATCAGCGTTACAAGATTGATTTAGTATCGCGGAACATTCTGAATCATTCTCCGTCCCTATCGCTACTTTGACTTTTGTTTTCGAAACTTGCGTTTCTCCAAACTTAGTCAAAGTGGGGGCTTCTGTAGACACCTAATTATGTCTCCCCAAAAACCAAACCCAGTGACGAATATCTTTCACGTCATTTGATTATAGAATGAGGTGAAATGTGAAAAGTCTTGTGATGCAGTCGTTTTAATAAAAAAATACTTCACTCTGTTTTCAAAAAATCATTCGTTTTGTACCCTATTTATGAAAATGTCCATCCCAATTTAGTTAGGTTTATGATAAGGGTCAAATAATAGGGTAGTTTAATGGGGCTTTAAAATACCTTTCCAACGATATGTTATAAGCCCAATTCCGATGAATAATGAGGTAGTTCTGACCAAAATACTAAACTGGGCTCAAATCGGATTTTACCTACGGCCCAATGATTATGTGGAGGGTCTAAAGGTTTAATCCCATTCCTAAAATAATTATGATTTATAAGAAGCTTCTATAAGTTTCTAAAAGATCTTAATTATCCTTTATAAAAAAAGATAAGATTAAAGATTTTGATATTGGATAAAACTTTCCTTTTTTTTAAAGTCCTAATTCTATTCGAAATGAATGTCGTTAAAAGACAGTCATATATTATTTCCGTGCCTCATAATATTTATCCAAATCTTATATGTTCGGATAGATCTTGAAATTATATTTCCAATTATATAATATTATAATATTAATTCCGAGCTATAATAAAAAACGATATGAAAGAAATACGAAACTTAATCCAAAACTGACACCTTTCCACTATTTCAACCATATCTTTTCTTCTAAAAAAGATTTTAATCTGATTCTAATTGGGTTGGAAATTAGACTTCAAGTTCTTTCCAACAAAATACTATATCCCTTATAAAGACTTCTGGATCAAAAGAAATGGTAAAAACAAAATCCGTAAAAAATTTTCGCAGCGCCAAACGACAGCCTAGTCACACTATGACAGACTCTGTCGTGTGATTCCTGCCGCAAACAACAGGAGACAATTCTATTTCAAATCAAAATTTAACTCTTTTCTATCGTTTTCGGACGATTTTCTCTATAAATAGAGTCGTATTTCCCCGTTTTCATTCATCAACATTCACCAACAATTCACAATCATCGATAATCATCCTTAATTTCTAAGAGCAATAGCTTATTCTTCTCCCTCTTTCTAAACCTTCCCCTTTTACAAAATACCGCATTCAAGGGTTCTAGACACACCTAACAGGCTCGAAGTTGTCTTCGCCCTAGACGTAAAAGGTTGATAATTTCTGAGGGTTTGGAACGAAATCCCTATTTCAATTATTTAAATTAATTGTTTGATTTAATATTTTCATTGAAGTTACTAACACGTGTACTTTGTTATTAGAAAGAGATACGAGGTATCGAAGTAAGTAATTACTTTAATTATTCTTTTGATGTGAAAAGCATGCTTAGATTATATTAATTCCTAATATCATGTTAGGATGTTGTTTATTATTTTTTAGTGTCATGCTTAGCTTGCTTCCTATTCTTTTTATTTCTTCTATCATGTTAGTATCATGTTAGGGATAAAGATTTGATCTTTAATGTTTAGTGATATGCTAGGATTTATTATTAATCTTGTTAGTATCATGCCTATGATCTTGCTAAAATTATACTTTATTGAGATTGAGAATATTATTTTGATGATGATTGTTATTATGTTGCTTGAATATTATTGATAATGCTTTATCAAGCGCTCTCTTGCAGGATTAAAGGGAATTTGTACTTGTAATCACGCTTAATAAGATAATTAATAATCTTGTTTAGGCTAATATGATTATAATTCAAGTGATCGCCAATAATAGTTTTGTTTGTGCATTAATATTCAACTAACATAGATTAAACAAGTTTAAGGTTAATATAATGATTGTATGTTAGTCAGATGGCGCACATGAATATGAGAAGAATTAAGTAGAGGTCTATTTTTAGGACAGGTTCAATCTCTTTTAGGTTGGATTTGTACCTTCATCCCCGAATATCCAGTCATGGTTCCAGATCATTATGGAGTTTGCGATCTCATGGATTGTCAAGGAGTGTAACCTTCACCCTGTGAACGGTTTACAAGTTTATAAAACTTGTTGGCGACTCTTTTGCTCTAGCTTACTTCTCTTTGGACGCCACCATGCTTAAGTGTATAATTACAGTGGGAATCAAGTGTGGGATGCTTGAAATATTCCCTACGGTACTCGTCATTTATCTTTTGTTGAAAAGCTAAGTGGTCACACATAAAAGCGGGCTCACAAGAGAAAAATAAATAGGCCACAGAGATGATAGAATTAGAATAGAACTTTAGTATTTACAGATATAAGGGCTTTTTATCTTTTAAGTTTCTAGATTATTATATGGCATCGGTGAATCATGGTTCATTCAACTGCAAGTTGTTGTTTTGCATCTGACTGAAGCGAAGCATTGTAGCCACCACCATCGGGTCTATTTCTTTTACATGGTTTCCTTTATAAGAATTAATATGTGAAACCTTGGCAGAGAATCAAAAGTTTGAAAAAGTTTTTCAAAATAGGATCTAAATCAATGAATATTCTTTTTTCCCCTTGTCTTGTCTTAATTATCTGCACATCAAGAAGTGATCAGTAGATCATAATATGGGCGAGGCTTCTAAAGGGCCTAAGTATGTCATAACCCCCCCTTCCCCACTTTTATCTCACTCACACACTCTCTCTCTCTCTCTCCAACTCTTGATTACAAACAATACAATTGCGCATATACTTCCTCCGTTACTTATTATCAGCAACATTTTCCACTTTGGGATGTTACAAGTTATGTGCAACAAAAAAAAAAGTTTCCTTATATAGTAACTTTTTTCAGTAAATTTACTAAAAGACTCTCACTTTATTCCGATTAACACACCAACTACACGTTATTAACTTATTAACCTAACTTAATTCACCCTCAATAACAACACTAACACACATTTTCTCTCCTCCCTCACAACTAGATCCAGCACCATATTTTCTCTCTCCTCTCTCTTAAGCCACCCTCACCTCCACTCTCTTTTTTCTAACAACCACCATTCCACCACCACCTTATTTTCTCTCTCCTCTCTTTCAAACCACCCTCACCACCAATCTTCTCCCTCTTCTTTAACAACCACCACCATCATAAGATCAGGTCGCCAGGTCGCCACCACTCACTAGTGGAAAAAAGCCTATTCGTAACGAGCAAAACTAGGCCTTTCGTAACGGGCAGCGGCCGTTAGGTATACCCCCGTTACGGATAAAACTATTATTCGTAACGGGCACTTGCCCGTTACAACTAAGTGGGTATTCGTAACAGGCATTTAAAATGCCCGTTACGGATAATGGGGTTATCCGTAACGCGCATTTTAAATGCCCGTTACGAATAACATGTTATCCGTAACGGGCACCCAAATGCTCGTTACGGATAACGGGGTTATTCGTAACGGACACCAAAATGCCCGTTACAAATAAGGGGTTATTTGTAACGGGCATGACATTTTCCCGTTACAAATAATGTATGCCCAAATTAAAAAAAATAATAATCCAGCACATGCTGGATTGGACTTGCACAATCTTTATCCGTTAATTAGAGAAATTTATAAAATTATATTTTACACACATTATATACAATCCTACATTCTTCTTTTAAAATAAAATAAAATAAAATAAATGTTTACATTCTTTATTACAATCAGTAAAGCCTACATTCTTCTTTCAAAAAAAAAAAAAAAATTAAATGCCTACATTCTTTATTACCTAATAATACCTAATAAAAACTATAAAAATAGAGCAAAACAAATCTCAATAGTAATAATATACATCTTCCACCGTTTTTCCATGTTGTTGCAACTTTGATCTCAAATTCCGAGGCTGCCTTAGGAACCTGAAACACTCACATCATACATTAGCAAATAAGAACACTCAATTATTTAGAATCATATTACACAAAACAATGTAAAGTTAGTAGAACATATGTTCAGAACGTTAAGATAATCATAAAATCTAGAAAGAAACAAAAAAGACAAAAAAGAGAGATTAATAAACAAGAGTAATTTCAATGCTATGGGACTGGGAAGGTCTTCATATCAAGGATCACATATACAGACACTACAGAGTCGAGCTCCTGGATAATTTTCAGCTTATGGAATAGCTGTGAGGTTTACAAGCTTCAAAATCAAAGGTCTAGCCATCATCTTCAGTCCTTTCTATATGCATCCTTAACCCATGCTTGGGAGGTTATTTTTCCTTGTATTAAACTGCCATTAGTCTATGGCTCATTCCACTACATATTACATTTAGAAAAGACCCACTAAGCTTATTCACTTACTTAGAGCTACAAGTCAACAAATCCTACATAAACACACATCAACACCCTAAGAAACAGCAAGCTACGCATGAAAGCCACTCAAAATGACAGTTTAATACAATTCAATCAACAATAATATATATACAATAATATACACCCACCTAATCAAACCATAAAAAATCCAAGATTATCACTTTACTTGCCATCTCCAAACAATCAAACGAATTGACAATACCCAAAAATTAAATAGAATAATAAAGAATCAAATAACATATAAATAAGAAAACCAAACCATCATCTAAACCCACACATTGTTAAACAAACACCAGCAAATTATAAACAATCATACAAATCATCAAAAACACAGAAAAATACAATCCACCCTAAAACCAATCGGGTGGGTATAAGTTAGCAATAATCTTAAAATCACTCCACGTATCCAATGTAGGATAAGAAATCAAGTATTGATTAATTCTATCAAAACCATGATAACCTGAACAAAATTTCAATTTTTCAAGACAAATATAAAGGATTATGAATAAAAAAATTTGATGCCCCAAATAAATATCACCAATTAAAATCCCAACAATTAAGCTTGAAGATAGCAATAAAATTGGGAAGAAAAACAAAAAAGGACATTAAAAAGAAATGAAATAAATAGGAAGATGAACTAACGGAAAAGTGTTCATAAAAACCGCAAATTGAATTCACCCCAATTTCTATTCACAATAATCAAACAACAAACTCAAATTTCCAGCATAACCACCAAACAGATAACAATAATAACAATTGCCATATTAACAACAAATCTACTTCCAAAAACCAAGGCAACAGAATCTCTTAAGTAAAAACATGTTTGGTTTCATAACATTATTATTTCATATCCTTTATAACGAGTTCCAATCTACTAATTTAATCAAAACATCAATACAATTTTCATCCTGTTGTTGTTCCATTTTTTTTTAAAAAAAAAACTGTTGTTCCAATTAAAGATAATAACAATCGACAAAAAAAACGTAAACCAAATCATGAAACAAAGAACCTTCAAGATTCAGTAGTCTCGATGATGAAGTTCTGACGACTGATAGGGTTCATCACCACCGGAGGTCCAGCAGTATGAGGCCATGCCTGCATTCAGTAGTCGAATTTTATGCAATTTTTACTAGATCGAAATAAAATTAATTAATTCAATAAAAACTGGAAATAAATTTGGGATTTTTTTGAGAAATTTTACCTCCAAAAAATCTTCTGATAAGACATTATGTAAACGCTAGCATAAGCAATAAAAAGGATCCATCGAGTGAGACGACGATGTATTTACCTGCCATTATTGTTGACCTTCAAAGCTGGAAAATGCGTCGAAAATTAGAGAAATTAAATTTTAGATCGATCTGAAAAAAATTGAAGAAATTGAGAGGCGGTTTAAACAAGCGCACGATACTGGGTTTCTCACTTCTCATGAAAGACATCAAAAAAAAAAAAAACAATGCAATAGATTGTCAACAGAAAACGAAAAACCAAACAAAACCCAGAAAAATTGAACACGAATATCAAACACCAACAACTGAACAATCATTTTTACCATCTTCATTATCCCAATCAACACTAATCCAGTCCTCATAATTCATCAGATCAACTCAGATCTTCAAAATCCAACAAAATTTATCAAAAAAAATATCACAAAATTCCAAATGTAAGCTAAAAACATTATAGTTCAAAATGATAATTACAAAAATCATACCTCAGAGAAGAAGATAAGATTCTTCTCGTCGTTGTTTCAAATATCTAAAATTATCAAGCACAACTGAACAAAAATGGAGGGAGGAGATTGAGTGAGGGGAGAGAGAGAGCGAGACAGAGAGAGAAGTGAAATGAGAGAGGAAGTGAAAGTTTGGCGGCTGTGTTGAAACCCTAATACTCTAATATAATGGGCTTAGTCCTTTTAGCCAATTCCGCCCCATCGCAAGTGTATTTGTATCGGGCAATATTTTGTCGGATACGATTAAATGATTATTCGTAACGGACTTTATTTGCCCGTTACAATTAAATGTATATTCGTAACGGGCATTATTTTTCCCGTTACAAATAGTTGTTATTTGTATCAGTCATACATATTGCCCGTTACGAATAGTCTTTTCGTAACGGATTTTAATATGCCCATTACAAATGAGTCGTTACAAATGAAGTTTTTTCCACTAGTGACTTCCTCCATTAAAGTCGTCACCGCCAATTAAAATATATTACTAAAGGCAAATTCAACTGGACACTTAGCAACATTACATTAAAAATTTTTCCTCCAAAAGTAATTGCTTAAAAAAAATTATAAATACCATCAACATTTGCTTTAGATGAAAATTAAACTAAACTTTCCAATTGAAATATTATTTTATTTATTTTAACCATATATATTTATATGTGGTTATTAATTAAAATATTTCATACTTTTTAAATTTTTTTGGGTCAAGTCATTGTTTTCATATAATGTCATTACAATTAATTAACAACTCTGCATGTATTGCACGGGGTTAAACCTATATTTTTGGTACAAACAAACACTGTTGGAGGGAAAAAAATGGTCTTTTTATATTTGGTTGTGGTGGAATAATGTGAGTGAATTAAGATGATTGGTTCAATAATTACTCTTCCATTTTTAAATTTTTGTTTCATTTTTATTTTTTGCACTATTAGTGTGTCCTACTTTGACTAATGTTTATGATTTATATATAAGAAAAAAATACAATTTTGTGGGTACTTGTTGGAATTGTTTCAATGAATAGATTATAATATTTAATTGTTTGAATTGAAACTCATTGATAATTAAAGATATTATTGATAAAAAAAATTAGCATCAACATACATACCTAAGAAAAATGGAGCAAGTATTAAAAAACAGAGGGAGTGTATACTTAATTTTTATTTAGCTAATTTGCTTGTACAAGGACTCATCAAAGAACTTTTTATATTTTATCTAAGGAACTAGACAACACAGCATCCAAACGTAATTAATAATTAACTTTTGGCTCGGGCAATGCCCCGATCATGTATATATATAGAATTAGGATAATGTGAGAACCTATATATCTATAATAGGAACTAGGAACTAATTCAAGCCGTCCAGCGCGTTAGATCTGACGGTCTACACTTCGCCCGCCTCATGAAGGGTACTTTTGTAATTTGCACCGTTGAATGATTACCCCCTCTCTTCTTCTACTTTCTAACTCTCTCTCTTCTTCTTCTTCTTACTTTCTCTCTCCTCCTGCAAATTATCTCTTCTCACGGTTTCTCTGATCTCTTCGAATGTCTTCAACTTTGCAAATCTGTATCTTCTTATCTTCACTCTTTGTTCAATCAAATTTGTGGCCAGGTAAGCTATTTTATTTTCATTATCATTTCTTTCTTCAATTTAATCCGTTTTTACATCAGTTTTTGCGATTTTGAGTGCGAAAATTAGGGATTTTCTAATTGTTAGTTGATATATTAGGCTTTATTTTTGTGGATTTCATTCAATTGGTTACTCCGTATTATTTTTGTGTATGAATAGTGAATTCGATTATCAAATTAGGTTTCAATTTTTGATAAATTCGAGCATAAAATTAGGTTTTGCTTTTATTTTAATGATTTTATTTCAATTTATGGTTTATTTGCTTTTATTAGGTTTTCGATTGAAGTTATTCTATTCAGTTTTGTGTCATTGGGAATTAAAATTGATGTGGCTTTCACTTAATCTCGCTGAGGCTTATGGTTAAGGATGTACTAGTGTGATCTTTTAACATTACTCATTCAATTAGCTATATTGTCATGTGAAATTGTAGTAACTTCTTTGTGAATTATTGTGTTCTTAGGGTGCTATGATTATCAATACAATGATGAAAAAAACTAGGATGTATTTTACTTTTCAGTTAGTCTTATTTACTTTTGAGTTGATGTTTATGGTTGTGTGGAATGTTGCTGTTTAGGGTTTTTGTTTGGTAGAAGCAGCAAAGGATATTGCAAGTTTTATTTGTTGTTTGGGCGTTGTCTGTATGGTGAGCTATCTGTGGCCAGGAGCAGGGGTGAGTTTAGCAAACATACATTAGTAAATAGAAATATAAGTATATGAAAAATAATACTTGTATACATATAAATACAGTAAAAGAAATACACCATCAACCTCTCAAAACCAATAGTTGAGTTGGTACAAAGTAGTGTATAATTTTAACCTAGCTAGAACTCTATGTATTATACTATGTGTTGTGATCTGATGGTATTACAACTATTCAAACAAGTTACATACATCAATCTAGCAAATTTCACCAAATATAGTAGCAATAATATATGAGTAGCACCCAATAAGATTAATACATACCATAGTATAAGACAAGATATCTATCTTTTCTTCTATTAGCATATCAAAGATTTAAAGGAGATTAATAATATGAAAGATGAGATATCAAGGCTCCAAGTGAAACAAATGTATATTTCCCTGAACTTGTCATCGATTCAACCCTATGCTATACTATTTGTGTAAATATTTATCAGCATGAAAGAATAGCAGCTGCTAGAAAAGCAACTCAATGAAAGCCTAATGTCCATAAAAGCTAAGAAGGTGGCTTTAGTTTTGTGGTTCCTTTTGTTTAATTTTGTCTAATTTGAGGGTACTTGTATTATTATTCGACAAGAACCCACATTAATAGAACTTTACGTGAATATTTGCTACTGTAGGACCAACCACCTGTGCTATATATATATATACATACATGTAGTATATACATATATATATACATACATGTAGTATATACATATATATATACATACATGTAGTATATACATGTATATATATACATACATGTAGTATATACATACATGTATATATATATGTGTGTATATATATATATATATATATATATATATATATATATATATATATATATACTTTTGTTATATATATATATATATATTTTATATTTACCTTAGAGTGATTTTTCTTTGCTTTGATACACTATCCTACTTGCTCAACGGGTAGAGCATTATGCAAATGCACAAAGATGTGGGTTCAAATCCCACATAGGTTCATTTGTGTAATGTGGCTATTAAACTCAATCTATTCAAAGTTGTAGGTGGTGGCATTTTAAGGTGTGGTAAGGGTATTTGGAAAATAGGTTATGCTATGAATTTTAATGCTATGTCTACAGCTCTAGCTGATCTTCTTACTATAAGGATGGGTCTCTTTACTTTCTGAGACAGAGAAATTAAGTTCTTGGAATTAAAAATAGATGCAGAGGCTATAGGGAAAATGCTGAGCTGTCCTAACTCCTTTAGAGACCATAATCTAGGAACATTATGAGGGATGTGTGGTTGAGTTATTGCAGAGAAACTGGTTAGTGACTGTTTTGCATGCTAGCAGAACAATTAACTTTGTTACTCACAAACTAGCTGAAATACCAACAATCCCTATGGCTTAATCCTGATGATGACGGCTGCTCAACACCTTTTGCTCATCTTGTCTTTCTTTGCAGGTCTTTGTTGGCATTATAATGGCTTTAATTTTTTGTTGCTTAGTTTATTTTATGTCTTCCCTAAGTAGTAGGATGCTGGTACTTTTAATCTCTTTGAACAATATTTTGTATAGGTTGGATGTTGTCACCTTGATGTAATATATAATCTATTTTCCTTTAGCGTAAAAAAAAATTATGTTTGAAAATCTGATTTCTAAATTTTCAGTTACTTTTGTTATCGTTTTATTTACTTTAAATATGAAAACCTTTATTATGACCTCATTCTTCTTTTATATCTGATCACTCTTCATGTTTGTAGAGTTTTGACTCATTTTATAGAGAGTTCAAGGTCAATGATGTAGGGTACCCATGAAGATCGACAATTCCTTGCTTTGTGTCATTTGATTATACAAACACTAACTTTTATTATTTTAATAATTACTTTTTAGTGTTTGTTATTTACTTCTGGGATATTTTGATCTAGTTTTGATTTTTTGTCGAGCTATTCTGATTTATTCAAGAGATCATGGCCGGACCTACGAAGGAACAAAGGGGGACCATTGTCCCCCCCACTTCCGAAAAAAAGAATACAGAGAAAAAAAATTAAGGGAAAAAAAACTAGAAAAATAGTTATATAAAATTGAGTGTAAGAAATAAACAAGAAGTTTGTCTTAGCTAAGTTGGTAGTGGGCTAGAATCAATATGTCAAGGGGCCAAATTTCAGGTTTACTTAGATCAGGGTTTGATTCCCCCTTGTACATCATTTTTTTTTAGTGTTTTATTTTAACCAAACCACTTGAATACTCCCTTATTCATATTTCCCAACCACGAGTCACGAACCACCACCCACGCGGCCACGAGTCACGGATTGCAGTGAGCATTTTCGGCAAATATTTGCTAAGAAATTAATATCATAAGATAATATGGCATTCAAATCCCCTTGTAACATCATTCCTTTTTTGTTTTTGGGTGTTTTATTTCAACCAAACTACTCGACTACTCCCTTATTCCTATTTCCCAACTAAACCCGAATTACTTGTATTGTGTATCCGCTTTTTTTTTATTAAATAGGTTGATGTTAGTTGAATTATCGAAATTGTCCCCCATTATTGTAAAATTTCTAGGTCCGCCACTACAAGATATTCCAAGTTTGAATTATTTTGATTTACTTTTGAATTATTTTGATTTACTTTATAGTATTTTGCATCGACTTATATATTGGAGGCATGTGTAACAAATTACTTACTCTCTTTCAAAGTACAATCTCAAAAGAATTATTTTGATTTACTTTTGAGATAATTTAATTTACTTTTGATACATTTTATTTTACTTTCGAGTTTTTCTTTTTACTCTTGAGATGTATTAATCTACTATTTTGTATCAATTGAAGACTTTAAAGTACCATTTTCTAAATTATGGTAAAAAAAAGGCGGACTCATTTTATAAATTGCTTATTCATGTAACTTTTGATGTAGGATTTTATTTACTTTTGAGTAATTTATTTTATTTACTTTTGAATTCCACATAGTTGTTGCCTTGCCATGGCTTGTTACTGCAGCTCCTACTTCTGCCTTGCCAAGGCTGCTGTTGTAACTACTGCTCTTCCATGGCTCTTCACTCCTGTTACAAGGTAGCCGTAGAGGCTTCCTATACTGACCTTCCAGTTAGTTCCACTTCTGAGAGCGAAGCTGAGCACTCGGAGCATAAGGGCCCCGCGGTGATTATTAACATGCGCTTGCTGCTGCTCTACTACCTCTGCTCTACCTCCTACTTCTGCTCTACCGCTGCTACTGTAAATGTTGGTCGGGAGTTCTTGAAGTTTAGCAAAATGGGAAGTTGTTATGAGCATGGGTGCAGCTTTTGCACCATGGAAGCATGTGAGGAGCAGCAGAAGCATGAGCAGAGCCAGCTCCCTGAGCAGCCATTAGGTTTCCACATTACGTTAGTGCATTCATAGCAATATCCTGATTTCTCAAAATCAATCTCAAAATTTTTTCCAAAAGTCTAGTTTTATGTTTTTATTCGATTTCGTTCTTCTTTTTTTTTTTGTTTACTTTTGATATAGTTTTATTTACTTTTAATTTGAAAATCTCTACATCGAGCTCAATATATTTGTTTCTTATAATTTGACTCATCTTGTAAGGATATGAAAGTCAAAGACTTAGAGTTTTGTGCTACAACAAAGTTTCCTTAGTCATTTATCATTTCAAGATAGTTTATTATTCGTATACTTTAGAGCTAATTTGATTAACTTCAATGATGTTTTGATTTACTTTTTAGAATTGTTTATTTATTTTAGAGTAATTATGATTTAGTTTTGACATATTTTGCTCTATGTTTGATTTCTTTTAATAGTTATTTTGATTTACTTTTGAGATATATTAATTTACATTTCTTGTTTTTTTACTTCAATATTTTGATTAACTTTTTAGTATTTACTTTAGATTAATTATGATTTACTTGTGACATATTTTGCTCTACTTTTGATTAAACTTTTACATTGAGCTTCATGTACTTCTTTCTCATAACTTGATTCATTTTGTGAGGATATTTAAATCAACAACTCTGAAATATTGTGCTATTTCCAAGTTTTCATAGTGTCATTACTCATAAAAAGCCAATCAATTGTCCGTACACATCAAGCTAATTTGATTTACTTTTTGGTTATTTTGGTTTACTTTTGAGGTATTTTGTATAACTTTAGAGTGTTTGATCCCTAACTCTACAACAATTCATCACTTTGTTCCTAGCTTGATATATTCACTCTTTTGTACTTATTACTTTTGAGCTACAATGATTTACTTTAAAGATGATTTGGTTTACTATTGAGGTGTTTTTAGTTATTATTAGAGACAACCTATGTAGGAATCGAACCTACATCTCCTATGCATTTGCACAATGCTCTACCATTTTGAGCTAATAGGTTTTAGTATACTTAGTGCAATAATCTGAAACATAAAATACGAGACATGATTCCTTGCATACTTAACAATTTATATCCCGTATAGTTATTTTCCCCATCATTGCAAACCTGTTTATTGAAACAAACAAGAAAGGTTCAATTCCTCAAAGCACCAGTGAGTTAAAATATGTCATTAAGGCTTTGTCTGTCAATATTGATCCAATTAATTATATACTACCTCCGTTTATTTTTATGTGCAACTTTGAGTGATAATACGGTTCACGAGGCAAAAGATTGAAGAGTAAATATTAGGAGAAGTTAGTGGGTTTAATTAAAAAGCAAGGAGAGAGAAAGTGTGGACTACACTTTTTGTTTGTGGTGGGAAAGTTTGGCAGAAAAAACCAAAGCATAATTTCCCACCCAAAACCCACCGAAAATTTGGGGTGAAATTTTACTTTCCCCCTCTTTTTTTAAAAATTTCATACCAAAGTCAAATTTTCCCAAAAAATTTAGGAGGCTATAAATACAGCCATGCCCCCATTTAATGTCACCATTCATTCAAGCATTTAAGGAGGGAATAAATCATCCTCCATTGTCAGGCATTAATTACAATCAACATTGTTTAAAGGTGGGTGAAACATTCCACCAAAAACACAGTTTCATCCACAAAAGCTTATCAAATCCTAGGTTAGAATAATTACACACTAACTACTCCTTAAAACTTTACAAAAAACAGGGGTGCTCTGTTGTCCTTCATGCACAGGTGGGTGTAGTCTTCATCTTCAACCCACACAACTCAGCAGGGCCCTGACTTCATCCTCCCTGTGCTGGAAAAGAGGAATGGCAGAAATTGATGACTCTGTTTTTTTTGATATTGAACACATTCTCAATGAAGAAGAGCTAGCAGAGCTGTGGTTCGAGGAAGAAGAAGAAATGCAGGATGCAGGAATATGGGAGTACAACTCAGAAGATGAAATGCAGGATGGCAACCAAGAAGAACAGCAACAGCAGCCACAGACAGAAACTAATGTTCTCAACACACAAATGCAACAGCAAGGTCATGAAGGGACTGGTCTTGTATGCAGAAAACAATTAACTTTGCAGCAAAGAAGAAAGATTGTTGATGCAATTTTGCTGAAAATGAGCAATGGGACTTTACCAAGGGGTCACATGAAGCAATTAGCATCTGAATTTAATGTCCACAAATCAACAATCACAAGAATCTTTTCAGACATAAAAAAACAGCTGGCAACAGGGGACTTGATTGATGTCAGGACCAAAAAATTTGGCAAAACAGGGAGAAAGCCAATGGAGATTTCTGATGAAACTCTCCAGTCAGTCCCATTACATTTAAGGCAGACAGAAAGAAGCTATGCAGGAGCATTGAAGATCAGTCTAACTACAGTTCACAATTTGAAGAAAAGAGGCAGGCTAAGAACACACACATGCTGCAACAAACCATTGCTCACATCAGACCACAAGGTTGCCAGACTAAGATGGATTTTGTCACATATAAATCCAATTACAGGGAATGAGGACCCCACATTTGTTGACATGAGGAATGTCATACACTGTGATGAAAAGTGGTTCTACTTGAACCCTGACAAAAGGAGGTTCTACCTACTGCCATGTGAGGAGGATCCCTATATGGCAGTTCAGTCAAGAAGATTCAAACTAAAGGCAATGTTCATGGCAATCATAGGGAAGCCATTATATGGCATAAATGGGGAACTTTTACATGATGGAAAGTATGGCATCTTTCCATTCACTGTCCAGCAAGTAGCACAGAAAGCAAGCAAGAAAAGACCAAGAGGGACCATGGAAACCAAGGCACTCCAGAACATAAACAGAGAAGTAATCAGAGAGATGCTGCTAACAAAGGTTATTCCAGCAATCATATCAAAGTGGCCTGAAGGTCTGCCCAAGGATGTGGTCATCCAATGGGACAATGCAAGGCCACACCAAGTTCCTACAGATGATGAGTTTGTGGCAGCAACAACAGCTAATGGCTTTAACATTCAATTTGTTTTCCAGCCAGCACAGTCTCCTGATTTGAATGTCCTTGACTTAGGGCTATTTAGGTCTATACAATCATTGCAATATCAGTCTTTTCCTAGGGACTTAGAGGAGCTAATTCAAAAGGTCAAACAGTCTTATGACACTTTCAACCCTCATGTAAACAAGTACATCTGGGTTACATTGCAAAAGTGTATGATTAAGATACTCAAGGCAGAAGGTGGTAACAAGTACAAAATACCACATATGAACAAAAAAAAGCTGGAAAACCTAGGTAGTCTTCCAGATTTGGTAGAGGTTCAGAAAGAGGATGTATTGGAGGCTGTGGAGTACCTAAACACCATGTTTAGGCCAGCAAATCAAGGCACTCAAGAAGACACAGAAGATTTGGAGGTGGATGCAGATTAGGGGAGTCTTTACAACAACCAGACAACACATGGACTGCCACACATAACCACTTATCATAGTAAGTTTTATTGGTTTTTTTTTTCCCAAAAACATTTTGAGCAATCCAGTGGTTAGGTGTATTTTGTTGATTACAATTACCCAAACAAGTCAGGCAGTCTGAAGTATAGTCATTAGATTATCATACATATGGTCTTTTGTAAAGTTTTATGTACTAGTATTTTGTACCCACATTTTTAGTTGATTATGAATGACAAAGATAAACAATTTATGTGGGCACTAAATCCATCAGAGGGTTATAATGTTGAATACTACACATATGCACAAGGGTACCTCAACAACAACAACAACTTTCATGTTGATGGAGCAAATCACCTGTGCATATTGAAATTCATTGGAGTCCCTTCATCATGTGGATATGGGTAAGCTAAATAGCATATCAAAGTAGGGGACTCTTTAATAAACAAGAAACAGAAGGCAACATCATGGGACTCCTTTTAAGGGACTGACTAGGCAACAATGAACATGCACAAGACACCAGCCTCATCATTCATCAATCAAGTCCACACAGCCAGCAATAAAGACAACATGCAACCAGATGTATCAACACACACATGCAACCAGCAATAAATCTCCCAGATGTAACATAACCAACAACCCAACATTACACAGCAAACCCTAGTATCCAGCCTACATCAACACAAACATACAAATAAACCCTAACATTTAACATAATCAACAACCCAACAATAAACAACAACGAGTCAAAGTTACCCATAACAGCAAACCCTTAGCAGCCAGAGTAGATCAACACAACCAACACCCCATCATGAAACCACAACCAGTCAAACAATCCCGCAATAAACAGTGAAACCCTAGTTTCAGCCATAGATCCACCGGCACAAAAATTAGGACTCTTTTAAATTTTAAAAAATTTAAAAAAAATTAGGAATAGGAATCGTTACGCAAAGGTCAGTGCTCAGCCTCCTCATCAGAGGACAGCACCACGAGGTCGGACTCCGGCAAATCAGGCAACCCGCGCAAACGCCTCATCGCCACCACCGCAGCCTTCCTCTTTCGCCAAAGCTTCGGAGGAGGCCTGGAAACCTTAGATCCGCGCTTGGGGGTGGGGGAGGGCGCAACACTGACCTCAAAATCGGACTCCAGATCTACATCTTTAACCTGAAAATCAATTTTTTTTTTGGCATGGGACTCGCCTTCACCCTCCTCTTTGTTCGTCTTCTCCCCCTCGTCGATATTTTTCAGGACTTCCCCAAAGCTTTGAAAGTCGTCGAAGAACAGCAACTAGGGCCTTCCTCAGAGTTGTAAAGGCGGCGAGGAAAATCATTGCCCCTGTTGATGTCGTTAATGAGGGACTTGATGAACCGAGCCTCACTCTGTGAATCTGTGCCAATATAGGCGTCAACAAGTGGATCTAGGTCATGTAACGGAATTGTGAAGTCTGGATGCCTCTCGAAAGGGGAGGGAAAGGGGGAAGACATAATTGTGGGACTCTGAATTCTTCAGGAAAAGGGCGAACGAAACGAAGAAGACGAAGAACAGGAACCCTAGAACACGAAGAACAGGAAAACAAAGAAACTGATCTAGGGTTCTATAGAATTCTCTAGATCAGTTTAGAAAAGGTGGTTGGGAAGATGTAGAGTTGTGTCGGTTGGGGGGTAAATTGGAGGGAGTAATTAGGTTAGGTTAATTTAGGTGTGTTAAATTAAGTTAGGGTTTTGGATAATGAGGGGTAAAAGTAAGATGATTAAATTTTTTAAGTGGGGGTAATATAGTAAATTCAAGGGTTTTTATTTACCAAAAACAGAATGAAAAAGGAAAGTTGCACATAATAGTGAACGGACTAAAATGGCAAAAGTTGCACATAAAAATAAACGGAGGTAGTAGTAGTTATCATCATAAGGAAAACTGTCTAATATTAAACACAATCCTAGTTTCTCTATCGTCTTTGACATAGCTTATCCTAGTTCCCTGGAAAGGAGTCCAGTCCTAGTGATCTTCATTGCGCCAAAAAGTAAGCACTATACTACTAACTATTAAGAGATGAGTAAAATGATAGGAATAAGCCATGATATATACTAGATTCTTCATGATGGAAAGGGAAAGGGGGGCATACTCAGGGGCATGGTAACTAAATGTTCCCAGGACTCTAGTTGAGTGCAAACGAGCTGCTATCTCTGAAGAAGCACTTGTTAGGTTGAAGTCAGCTATTTTTGAAAGGAAAACTTTTGTATACACCCGGTTTTCAGTAATTTACTGTATATCGGGTACACTTTTGTCAGATTTAGTGTCACTTTTGTCAAATTTAGTGTCACTTTTGTCAAATTTATCAATAAATCATAAATAACTCTTATATATGTCACGGTAACTTTTGTGCGTCTTAGTGTAACTTTTGCACATTTTATTGTCACTTTATAACAGATGTTCAGTAATTTACTGAACATCCGTTTTATTTAAAAGTTTGTGTTTTTGAAAAGAAGTCATCGAACAACACTACAACAGGACATTGTACATCTAACATCTCGATGAAAATTAGAAGGCTGCACCTTCTCATGCAGGTACTCTAGACCTTTTGCAGCTCCAAATGCAATTTTTACTTTTTGTGCCGATATTAAAGCAGGCCCTGGTGTGCTGCACCTTGTACTCCTTTCCTTCTTGTACAGGGCATTGATTACAAAAATTGCAAACTATTCTGCTGCCAATTTAAAAGACGAGTAAGATGATTGGATTAAGAGATGGAATACCATGTAAAACATCATGTTTAGAGCCCATTGTTGCATACTGATAGACCAATATTCTGTTAAATTGTTCCAAACAATAACCTATAAGCTCCCTAAAATGCTCATGCTTCAGTCTTGAAACAATCAAAAACTGCAATGAGCCACCACTTATAAGAAAATAGGAACAAAATTCCTAAAATATAAAACCATACTATGTATGTAGAAAAATGTAAGATACCTGAGCTGCAAAGTCGGAATCTGAATCATGTGTAGAACTCGTGTCCAATTTCTTTATTGTAATCTCTAGGCCGTTGTTTATCATTCCATGGAAAACCCTTCCATAAGAACTTTCTCCAACCAGTGTTTTCTAACTGAAGTTGTTGGTAGATTTTTTTTAATTCATCCAGTGGCACAGCCGGCAATTCTATTGGCAAAGCTTTTACTAGCGCTCCACTTCTTGTTCCATTACTAGTTTTCGGCTCACCTCTATCCCCACCTATGATAAGACATCAAATGAAAGTTCCATATCAAACAAGCTAACTCCTAATTATATAAAATTCAGTATAGTGCTAAGGTTACACAATAATTAACATGATGACACTTTTTTAAATTAATATTTTTATCAACTTCATTCATAGTTTTTTTAATCAACAATTTGATGTCAATCGAGTCTACCTTAATAGAATGGATGACTTATGTGGCCCTTGACTCATTATGATGAATCAATCAGGAACTAAATGTATAAAGGTATCACTCCCACCTCCCACCAAATAGGAACTAAATGATGAATCAAGTTGTAACATTTTGGTTCTTGATTTCAGAAGTAGAAAAGGATATTTTCAATTTTATTTACTTTACAAATATTTGATTTATTTTGTATCTACTGTTATAAGGCTATACCCCTCTATTGTACATAGATAGATAATCATCTCTCTAAAAAGTACATAATCAATACCCAAAATTCATTAATAAAAAAAAATGTAGCAAAAAAAAAAAAAAAAACCGACAAATTCAGGCATGAAAATCTTACAAATACTCCTCATAATTCATAAAATTTACACAAAAATCAATAACAATAATAATTAAATAATGATACAAAATTAATTCTCAAATAATTGTTAATTACTTCAATTATTTTGCTAAAATTAATATAAAAATTATAAAATGCAAAAAATACCTGGATTTGAGTTTGATATATTATTGTCGCTGAAGAAATTGACTTGAGAAACCGGATGAACTCCAAAATTATAGCTGACAAAATAAAATTAAACTTCGGCAAATATAATTTTGCGATTAATCAAATAAAAATAAGTTCAAAATCAATAATCTTCTAAGATTATCACAACTGTATAAATTTTGCATAAATTAAAATTTTGAAATTATACCTAGTTTTTTAACCTTTTTTTTTTGAAAAAGCTCATAGAGCAGGATTAGTATTAATTAAGCAAGGTCAATCCCAGCCAAAGCTAATAAGCTTTGCGGGAATGAAGATACAAAAATTTGTTCAACATCATTAGCAGGTCTAATCCTAGCTGCCATGTGAGCAACACAATTCCCCCCCCCCCCCTTTTAATATGATTACAAGAAAACAGGAGAAAATTTCCACTCAAAGAAGCAACATCTTCGTAATTTCAACACAATTACCTAGTTTTTTAACCTTTAAACAAGTAATTTCATTCAAATCGAGTGAAAATTAATGAATAATTTCGTCAACAGAAGAAATTAACATGCAAGAAAGAAATTTATGACAATTTTTGATAAGAATCAATGGCGATTTTTAGCAAAATTGGTGTGAGAAGAAAGAAATGCTTTATGAGATTGGAAATGGTCAGTAAGGTTGAAGAGAGAGAAAAGTACGCTTGTTCTTTTTGGTTAAATTCATCTTAGTTTGTTTGAAATAATCACAGTCTTCATCAAAGCGGCAATTTGAGGTTAATCTGATGGTTGAAATGAGTTATTAGTACCTATTATAGGATTAGGATTGGTTCTCATTATAACATGATCCTATATATATATATATATATATATATATATATATAAACTTGCAAACCGCTCACGAGGTTAAGGTTACACCCCTTAGCGATCCAGGAGATCGTTAACTCCAATAGGTCTAGAACCATGACTGGAAGTTCGGGGATGAAGGTACAAATCCAACCTAAAAGAGAATGAACCTGCCCTAATAATAGGCCTCTACTTTATTCTGATCGTATTCATGTGCGCTTTCCGACTAACATGCAATCATTAGGTTTACCCTAAACCTGTTTACCTATGTTGGTTGAATATTAATGCACAAATAAACTATTATTGGCGATCACTTGAATTATAATCAAATTAACCCTAAACAAGATTATTAATTATCTTATTAAGCATGATTACAAGTACCAATTCCTTTTAAACATGCATAAAAGGTGTGGTCAAGCAATAACAATAAATATAATCAAGCAACATAATAATAATCATAAATTATAACAATTATAAAAATAATCATAATCATAATCATAATCATAATCATATCAACACTAAAGCATAATAATAGCAAGATCTTAGGCATGATACTAACAAGATTAATAACAAACCCTAGCATGTCACTAAACAATAAAACTCAAAGCTTTAGCCCTAACATGATATATTAGGAAAGAAATAGGAAGCATCGGAAAAATCATAATTGATATATTTGATATTAGAAATTATAGTTGTTACCCTAAACATGATACTAGGAAGTGAATAAAACATCCTAACATGATACTAGGAATCATAATAACAATCTAAATACGATTTCTAAATCATAATATCAATAAATCAATTAAAGCACTTACTTGGATGCCTCGTATCTCTTTCTAATAACAAAATATACACGCGTTAGTAACTTCAAGGAAAATAATAAAACAAACAATTAAATTAAATAATTGAAATAGAGAATTAAGAAAGTTTAGTGTAGGGCGAAGGCAACTTCGAATTATGCTAGGTGTATCTAGATCTTGTGAATGCGGAATTTTGTTTGAGAAAAGCTAGTTTAGAAAAGACAGAGAGTAAGAGATAGAGCAATCAAGGAATTCTTGATGAGAATAGGTGATTGAAAAAGGGGATATATGGCCTCTATTTATAGAGAAAAAAAGAGGGTCGACGAATAAAAAAAGAATCCGAATACGAATCGAAATAAAACTCGATGGACAGCAGTTTTTGCGGATTTGGTTTTTATCATATCTTTTGATCCAGAAGTCCAAATAAGACATATAAATTTCGTTGGAAAGCTCTTGAAGTCATATTTCCAACCCAATTAGAATCAGATTAAAATTTTTTGTTGATAAAAATATATGGCCAAAATAGTAGGATGATGTCAATTTTGGATAGAGTTTTATATTCTATTCATATCTTTTTCGTTATAGCTTTGATTTAATAGTATAATATATCATTGAAAATATAATTTCAAGATATATACATTAATCTAAGATTTGGATAAAGATTATGGGGCACAAAAATAATATCTGACTGTCTTTGAACATCTTTAAATTCGAATAGAATTAGGATTAAAAAAAAAGAAAGTTCTTATAAAAGGAAAGTTTTTATTTAACTAAAATTCTTTAATCTTATCTTTTTAAAAGGATAATTAAAATATTTTAGAAACTTATAGAAACTTCTAATTAATCCTAATTAGTTTAGGAATAGGATTAGACCTTTGGACCCTCCACATGATCATTGGACCGTAGACAAAAATCGGTTTGGTCCCAGTTTAGTATTTTGGCCATAACTTCCTCAATATTCATCGGAATTGGGTTTATAATATATCGTTGGATCAAGCCCCATCCAACTCCACCATTATTGGACCCTTATCATGGACCAAACTAAATTAGAATGCACTTTTTTCATAAATAGGGTAAGAAAATAAATATTTTTAAAAACAGAAAGAATAGATATTTTAATAAAAACATCCTCATCACTAGACTTTCCACACTTTCACTTTGTTCGATAATCAAATGACATGAAAGGTATTCATCACTAGGTTCGGTTTTGGGGAGACACATTTGGGAGTCTACAGAAGCCCCCACTTTGATTGAGCTTGGAGAAACTTAAGTTTTGAAAACAAAAGTCAAAGTATCAAGGGACGGAGAATGATTCAGAACGTTATGTGATCCTAAATCATTCTTGTAACGCTGATACCTGCAAACTAACGTTAATTTAAACAGATAAGAGAGTTAAGAAACGCGTATCTTACACCGTCGAGCATACGTCTCTGGAGGTAACCGATTTGTTGCTGCATTTGTTGTTGTTGACAACCTTCCACAAGCTAGGGAACGTCATCTCGCTGTTTGTTTTGTCGATCCTTCCGCAATCTAGAGAACACTGTCGATCAATGCTGCTACATCTCGAGCCTTTTTCTTAAATCATAGTGACAACCTTCCCAATCATAGCAAAATTCGTCGAAGACCGCCTCATCACGAACCGCTCTTCTCAAATCTCGATGACAACCTCCACAATCTTAGCGAATGCCGTCGAAGACCGCCCATCTCATGTTATCTTCTCAAATCTTGGTGACAACCTCCACAATCTTAGCAAATGTTGTCGAAGACCGCCCATCTCGTGCTATCTTCTCAAATCTTGGTGACAACCTCCTCTATCTTAGCGAATGCTGTCAAAGACCGCCCATCTCTTGCTATCTTCTCAAATCTTTGGTGTTAACTTCCACAATCTTAGGGAACGTTATCGAAGACCGCCCATCTCGTGCTATCTTCTCAAATCGAGTGATAACTTCCACAATCATAGCGGAAGCTATCAAAGATTGCTTCATCTTGAATTGTTCTTTTCTCAAATCAAATAATAACCTCTTCAATCATAGTGAAAGCTATTGATGGTCGCTTCATCTTAAATCGTCCTTCTCAAATCCAAGCGAGAGACTTAAAGCCCCCCTGTTGAAAGCTTCGTCATCTTAAATCTTCAAATCAACCCTTCCATATTTGGAAAATCTTTTTCAAGAACCATATCTGCGGTTCTTAAAGGCTTCAACTTGATTTGTGAAAATCTTCCATCCTAGGAAATCTTTGTGAACCATTATGTCGGTGCTTTTGAATTGAGCCAATGTTTAGGCGCTTTAAGCTAAGTGAGACGATCTTTTATCAGGTCGATCACTTAATGCGATTGTAACCGAGCCGATTACTAAATCATGTCGAGTTGCTTATAGGGTCTAACTGGCGTACCAAGGAACCCAAAATTGCTGTAAGAGGTCCGCATAATCCAATATGGGGACTGTTTAGGGTGAAAATACCCTAAGACACGTGGCCCAATAAAGGCTTGACACGTGTCAATCTTTCAGCGGTCTGCAAAGGC